AGTCTCTTATGTTTAGAAATAATGTATGATTAGAAGTGACATTTTAGGCACGTAATGTAGGCAATGTCTCAGGGTTATGAAAGAAAGGGATAAATGGCCTAAACAAGTGTTTTAAGGGTAATTGAACCAATGATCAATTTATTTTGATGTCTTCAATCTTGTCTTGCTCGACTTGAATCTGCTTGCATGTGTCTTTCTCTTGATGTTCTATGATCTTTCAGTGAAGTGATTCTGGAATGATTATGCTTGATCAATCTCATGGTTTGCAGTTCGATGCTCCATTTGAGTCGAGAGACTCTTTGTCTGTGCTTCTTGTTTTCTTTTTGCTCTTTGCTTTTTCTTTTGCTCTTTTTATTTGCTTTTTCTTTCTTTCTTTGTTTTTTCTTTTTTTTTTTTTTGTTTTTTCTTCACTTTTCTCTCTACTTTGATTTGATCTTTGCACTCTGTATTTGGTTCACCTTTCAGTATCTCATCTGAATCAATGTCCTCACTCATGGAAGCAGATTTCTTCCACCTTACCCCCAGTGTGGAGGGTGATCCTTGGTTAGGGTTGAATCAGAAGAAAACATAATTGAGGCTTAAAAAGGGACACAAGGGATATATTTTATCCTTTTGCGAAGTGTTGAAAACATTTTGATGTTTCGATATAACAAATTAAGTATAAATGAATTTTAAGATTTTACAAATGATTTTCTAAGTATATTGGATTTAATTACTCGAATATCAAATTATTACTCCAAGTCTTTTCAAAATCAAATTAAAACCTTACTAAATGTGTAAAATTGTGTTTTATACTTAATATATTTTTGAAACAATTTTCACAAAGTATTTTGAACCAAAATCAAGCCTAAAATCAATTTTTCAAAGTGATGCACAGATGCACCAATCCATGCATCGATGCACCATGGAATAAATTGAACATCGAATGCATTTCATGCACCGATGCACATACTATGCATCGATGCATATACTATGCATCGATGCATTCAGAGTTTTATGAAAACATCGAATACATTTGATGCACCAGCCATGCATCGATGCACTCAGGCTATTTTGAAACATCGAATGTATTTTATCCATCGATGCACTCTTAGTGCACCGATGCACTAAGGGTCAAACGGTCAAAATATTTGAATTTTACATTTGATGCACTGATGCACCTTGGGTATGCATCGATGCACTGACGCTCCTAACTGATCTAATTAATTGTTTTCACACTTAAACGGCTCTATTAACTCCACTAATCATCCCTAACGTTTAGAATCATTTGAAGGAGTATTTAAACAAGCTTAGAAGCCATTGATCAAAAACAAGAAAACACAAGAAACAAGAATCAAGAGAGAATCAAAGAAAACATCAAACCTCAAGTTTGAGCAGTTCAAGCCTATTTTTCTTTCAATATTCATTTTGCTTTCAAGAACACTACTTGTACTCAATTGTATTCATTTTTAGTGTTCTTTTCTTTATTCTAGAATTGTGCAAACAATCTACCTTGTGAGGATTTCCTTATAAGTTTGTAAATTTGTAATCTTCTCTTTGAGAAAGAGTGTTCTCAAGAATTGAGGTATATTCTTGAGGGAGTTGTAAGGTTATCTCTTTGGCCTCAAAAGAAAGAACAAATTAGTGAATTTGTTAGAAAATCCTTAGTGTGGATAGCTAAGGTAGTGAACGTAGACTTTGGTTGAGAAAGTCGAACCACTCTAAATCGTTGTGCAAATTTTTTCAATTTTTTGTAAAAGCTTCCACCAAAATTTTAATTGCCAATTCACCCCCTCTTGTCCAATTCCATCGATCGATTAACTCAACAACTGGTATCAGAGCCTCACTCATTTGAAGGTTTAATCGCCTCTTGAGTCGATTCGGGAAGAGTTACATCGATTATTAAGTCATCAATGGCCTCTACTTCAAATGTCGACTCCAGTCTCGATTCGATGCCCGTCAACAAGCCTCATTTCTTCAATGGAGCTAGCTATTCCTATTGGAAGAATAGGATGATGTATTTCATTCAAGCAAGTGACATGAGAGCATGGAATATTGTAGAAGACGAATATATCAAGCCTCTCACTCATCCAAGATTGTGGATTGAAGGAGAGACAAGAATGTTCCAGCTCAACTCCAAAGCCATCCATATCATATTTTGTGCTCTTGGACCAGATGAATATGGAAGGGTCTCATCTTGTACAACCGCCAAAGAAATATGGGATAAACTACAAGTCACTCATGAAATCACCGACGAGGTAAAATAATCTAAAATTAGTCTTCTAACACATAGCTATGAAAATTTCAGGATGAAACCAAATGAAGATGTCAAAGCTATGACAGATAGATTCTCAACGATTGTCAATGGTCTTAAATAATATGGAAAGATCATTCCAAACAAAAAGATTGTGAGGAAGTTAGTTTATTCACTTCCAAAATTGTGGCAATCCAAGAAGACGTCAATCATCGAGGCTAAGAACCTAAATTCCTTAACTCTTGAAGAGCTGATCGGTTCCCTCCTCACTCATGAAATGATGCTTGAAGATGAGGTAGACCTCGATAAGATTGATGAGAGACCAAAGAAGAAGGAGAAGAAGAAAAACATTGGAGTTGCTCTCAAATCCACAAAAGATGAGAGTGATTTGGATGAAGATGATGATGACGAGGAAATGACACTGTTTGCCAAACGGTTCAGAAAAATGATGAGACCTTACCGAGGAAGAAAATTCAAACGAAATAAAGGCCTCAAAAATGAACCAAAAGAGAAGGACCCTATCATTTGCTATGAATACAAAAAGTCGGGGCATGTCAAATATGATTGCCCACAATTAAAGAGAAAGGGTTAATCAAAGAATAAGCACAAGGCTCATGTGGTTACATGGAGCGATGAAGAAGGTTCCGAACAAGAAGTAGCAAACTTGTGCTTGTTAGATGAGCCTCTTCCTACTTCTATCGATGAAGCTATGAAATCCAAGGAATAGGAAGAAGTTGTTCGTGCTGAGCTCACTGCTCTTCAGAATAATGGTACATGGTCTCTTGTAAAGCTGTCCGAAGGATGGTCCACTGTCAGTTGTAAATGGCTATTCAAAATAAGACATAATTCTGATGGGACGATTCAACGATACAAGGCTTGTTTGGTTGCTAAGAGATGCTTTCAGGTCCTTGGGCAAGATTTCAAGCAAACTTTCAGCCTGGTTGTGAGGCTTTCCACGTTGAACGTTATACGTGCTCTTGCTATTTTTGGAGGTTGGTCGTTAAGACATATCGACGTGAAAAATGCCTTTCTTCATGGTGATTTGAGTGAAGATGTGTTCATGCAACAACCACCTGGTTTTGAGCAATATACTCCTGAAGGCACCAAGCTAGTTTGTAAACTGCAGAAGTCACTCTATGGCTTGAGTCAGGGACCACAAAATTGGCATGCTAAGCTGAAATGAAGTCTTTTTTAACTTGGTTTTAAAGAATCTAAAGCTGATACTTCTCTCTTTGTCTTGACAAAAAATGGTGTATCAACATATGTCCTGGTATATGTCGATGATATAATAGTTACTGGGCAATCAACAAATGAGATTGAGAAGGTAGTCACGTTATTAAATAATCATTTTTCTTTAAAGGACATGGGTGAACTACATTATTTCTTGGGTATTGAAGTCAAGCGGTGTGATCAATTTTTACTTCTTAGTCAGAAGAAGTATATTTTGGAACTTCTTGAGAAGTCAAAGATGACTAAGGCTTCATTTACTTCTACTCCAATGGTGGCTTCCTCAAAGTTGAGCAAGGATGAAAGACACCTACTTGCTAATGCTCAAGAGTTTCGTAGTTTAGTGGGCGGACTACTTTATGTGTGTCACACTAGGCATGATATTGTCTTTAGTGTGAACAAGGTGGCTCAATATATGCATGCTTCAAGAGAACAACATATGCTTGCTGCTAAATGTATTCTACGTTATCTAGCTGGGACATTGAACTATGGTATTGGTTTTATACCAAGAAAATTACATGTATCAGCTTTCTCTGGTGCTAATTGGGGTGGATGTGTTAATGATAGGTGATCAATTTTTGGTCACTGCGTGTTTGTGGGAGGAAATCTGGTGTTGTGGAGTGCGAAAAAGAAAAAGGTGGCTTCACGATCGACCATGGAAGCTGAGTATCGAAGCCTTGCTGATGCAACAATAGAGGTGGCTTCGGTTTATGCTTTACTTACTGATTTGAAGTCGCCAGCATAAACAACCAACGATCTGGTGTGACAACACAAGTGCGATTGTGTTGAGCGCTAATCCGCTGTATCATTCTCAGTCCAAGCATGTGGACTTAGATATGCATTTCATCCGAGAAAAAGTTGTTGCAAATCACCTGTCTGTGAGTTATGTTCTAGCAGCTCATCAAGTCGCAGATGGCTTGGTCAAACCATTTGCAAAAACTGCCTTTGCTGGTTTTCGCGAGAAAGTTAATGTCTATTTGTTTGTTGAATAAGAGAAGAAGCGGGGAGAATGTTAAAAGATAACTCACGCGAAGCTTCATACATAAGGGTGTACTAGAAGCTAGTATGTTAATCTAGTTAGTTTTGAATTCTCAACAACTTCTTAACAACTAGGTGGTTAGACAGTTTTGAGTAGCTGAGTTATTGTAATTGATTCCTATAAAAAAAGTATTATAGACTGCATTTGAAGCAAATTTTTGGAGCTAACTAAAGCTTACATTACCTTCTTTCTTTCTTATATTTCTTTTGTTATTTCTGCGTTGTTCAACACTCAATAGTAAAAGGAATTATTATTCTCAATAAGAATCATATGTTTGAGCAATGGCATCTGCATGATGACTAAATTTTTTTTAAACAGATATATCTTAAAATCATATCAAATTAATTTTTAAAAGAAACTAATACATCATCCATTGCTTTTTAAACGGGAAAATGATCTTTTTGAGACTTTCAAATTAAATAATTATTTTGTAATTTTTAATAGTTAATAAATATAATTAAAATATGTGTTATAGTCGAGGTACTATCCGGGTATTTTTATTGTTCCCGTAAAAAGAGCAATTATATCGAAAACAAACCCACCCACTTCCTTTTCCCCGATACTTTCTCACCTCCGCCCCTCTCTCCGGCGCTCACCTCCACTCCCGTCGCCGCTCTCACGACTCCTCGACATGTATGTTTATCTGCTTTCTCCTAGATTTGTGTTTTTTATCCTTCTGAAAATAAGATTTTATCAAGATCTGTTATGTAAATGGTGTTTTTCTTGGCGCAAGTCTTAGGGCAAGCGTGTAGAACTTTGGCTTTGAAACTAGCTGTTTGGAGATAGGATCTGTAGAGATGATGACGATTTGCTAAGAATTGTGGAATTCTGTTATTTGCGACGCTTTCATGTTGAATTAATTTCAGAGTTGCAAGGTAAACGAGATTTACTATTTTCCCAAAACTGATGACTATACGGATATATTTTTAATTGGAAAATAAAAATTCCATCTTTGTATTAGTATAGAAAAGTTAGGAACAAGCAAGAACATGGTTCTCTAACAATCAATAGAGCTTCATATTGCAGCTGAAAACCCAGAAATGTAAGGGCATCAAAAGATGAATTCCGTATTTTTGGCTGATTAGTGTTTTAAATTGCTTTGTTTTGGTTGAATGTGTTTTTTTTTGGCTGCTACTTCTTTATTGGTGAGTGTGGAAGAATCTTGATTGCTTCGAACCGAAGGGGCTAGAATCAGAGTACTTCATATTCATATCGCGTTTTTATTTTGATATTGTTTAGAATTCGAAGCAGAGCAGAAGTATCAGAGAAAGGAAAAGAGAGTTTTAAATAATGGCGGATTACCATTTTGTTTACAAAGATGTAGAAGAGGTTTGGTCGTCTAAAGGTGACACGACTCCTACGAGATCTGGTCGGGGATGACACTGCTCATATGTGATGAAGAGTTCTGACCATCTTTAGGAAGGGTGATAACACGGTTCCTACGCGATGAGTACGACTGGTTATCAGGGGTGACACGGCTCCTACGTGATGAAGAGTTCTGGCCATCTTTAGGAAGCCTCCTCCTTTTGAACCTGCACCCGACCCGAATTCTGCTCCCAAGGACAAGTCTTGGATCGATCAAAGGACTGAAGAAGAACTTGAAGATCTCGAAGATGATCTGGATGATGATCGTTTCCTTGAAGAATACTGGTTTTATTTAGTTTTTATTCAATTAATTGGATTTTTTCTCGGATTTAAATTTGAGGTTTAAAACGTTTAGTTATTGGGTTCAGAGGTGATTTTTCTATTGAATTAAATTGGGTTTGGTTTAACTGAAGATATTTGTAATATTTGTGACGAAAGGAAAGTTTTTAAATGAATAAGTGTAAACTTCTGTGATAAACTTTAAGGCTGATTATTATTGGTTCTTCATTTTGCATCAAATTCATGATTTAAAAAGTTGGAACATTTTCCTTGAGACTGTTTTCCTTTGCTCTGGATCTTTCTAATACATGAAAAAGTTAAACATATCTGTGTTGGACGTATATTCGAATCCGGCTCTCACACTCAAGCTTGAGTAAGATAAATGTTCATTGATATCTATGTTTATGCATTTCATTGGAAAAGTAATGTTGATTTGATAGAAAGAAGAGGCTAGCTGAGATGAGGGAAGCAGCTAAGGTTTCAAAGTATGGATCAGTGATGCAGATTTCAGGATCTGATTTTGTCCGAGAGGTTTCACAAGCTCCTCAGGATGTCTGGGTGGTTGTCCATCTCTACAAAGAAGGGTATTTTACATTTGAAATATTGCTTGCTTCTTATACAGTTATTAGTCATCTAAATTGTGGCAAATTCGTTTGCATTGAGAACTTTCTATTCTGTGTTCATAATGTATTAACAACTATTGTTTCTTTTTTTTATGCTTGCTGATGGGATTTTATTTGCTTAGTACAATATTCAGTGTTTCCTGTTTAACATTTGAAGTGAACTATATAAATAGGATTTTTTGTAACACTTGATCTAATAAAATAATATAAATTATACGACTTATGAACATGAAACTTTAAAATGCTTGTGCTTGTTGAAAAATGTGTGCTGATGTTTATTGTATTTTTATTCTTTGCTTTATTGTTATATCTTATTAGATTGCCGGAGTGCGGGCTGCTTCTACGGTGTTTGGAAGAATTGGCAGTCAAATACCCTGCCACAAAGTTTGTCGAGATAATATCCGCCGATTGCATTCCTAATTACCCAGATCGTAATCTTCCAACTCTCTTGGTGTATAATAGTGGAGCAGTAAAAGCAAATTATGTTGGTTTGCATAGTTTTGGCCGGAGATGCACGCCTGAAGGTATGCTTCAATGAAGGGATTCACTCTTCTCCTTCTTCTTCCTTTTCTCATTTTAGAATCCGGGTTTTAGTCCAGTTGGTTCATGCAGTCACCATTAAAAAGATGACTTAGTAGGTATAGGGTTTGAATTTCGGTTATCCAATCTCTTATCCTGTGATGTTTTGGATGCATAAACTAATTGTCAAAATTAGATAGTTATTGAGTTTTTGTTCCCTTAAAAAATAGGTGTGGCCTTAGTTCTTTGTCAATCAGATCCTGTACTAAATGATGGTCAAAGTGGGAGTGACCAATCACAAAAGGCTGTTCTTGAAGGAGTTCGATGGCGGTTTATCGAAAAAGTTGTTACTGAGCATGAGGATCGGGACGACGGAGGATCGCCGAGTGATTAGATGTTCAGTACATTCACTTGGTTTCTTTCGGCTGGGAAAGATTAATGTTGATAGGCTATTGTAATATCTGGTTTCTTGCAGCTGTTTTTTTGTTGTTCTTTGCTGATTTTGATGTTTTCTTATCAATATATTCTAACTCTCTCCTCTGGATTATTTATTCACTTCTTGTTCTCTTGTTAGATGTTTTTTTGTTGTTCAGTACATTTAGTGTTGGATCCACCTTTAGTTCAATTATTTATTTATTTTATTAATTATGCTTACTATGAAATTATATTTGCGCCTATTACATACGGAAGTTTTGTGTTATTAATGCATGCGTGTTTACCTTCAAAAATATTTCTGGATCCGTCACTGTTTCCATTTAGCAGAAATCTGTGTTATTAGGTTTTGGCTTTGTGGTTCACTTACCGTATTACTATCATTTCATCTATTATTATAGTAACTGCAATTAAAAGCCATAGTGCAAATGAAATGTTGGTTTAGATTTATTGGTTGATTTATGTTTCAATAATATTAACTAAAGTATTATAACAATACATAAAATAATACTTCAAATATTAATACATATTATGTTGAACATTTTAAAAGTAAGATTATTACATTGAACATTTTTCAAAATAGATACCATGTTTAACATTTTAAATGTACAAATATCAAATATGGTATTACTTGAATTTTAATCGTGAATGAATAATTTTTGGATAAAGTACACAAATAATCTCCTGACTATAGGTTATTATTTTATTACGTCTCCTGACTATTAAAAGTTACAAATTGATCCCTAACTATAGAGAGTTGCTTTGTTGAGTCCCTCAACTATTAAAAATTACAAAATGGTTACCTAATTATTAATTATGTTCTAAACTCGTTCTTTTCCACTAAAAAATTAACGACAACCTGAGTTGGATTTTAACCCACTGTCTGAGATATGATAAAAACCGATCACATAATATCAAACGACTATCGTATCTAAGTCAACATGTTAACGTCTAACTCAGACGACCATTAATTTTATAATGGAAAATGATGAGTTTGAAACATAATGAACAGTCGAGTGACCATTTTGTAACTTTTAATAGTCGAAGGACTCAACAAAGTAACTGCCTACAGTCAGTGGATCATTTTATAACTTTTAATAGTTAAGGACCTCAAAAAAATAGTATCATATAGTCGGAGGGTCATTTGTGTAATTTTACCCTAATTTTTTTAATGATTTATTGAATCAATCTTAAAGAAGAAAGAAAGGGATAAAACCGAACAAAATGAAATAAAAATAATTCAGTTATGGAATACAAACCCTTTGATAACAATTTGCACGTGGTAAAAACTAAAAAGAATTTCAAACACGTTTCCATAGTTAGTTGAAATCAACGATCGATCCAGAAATATTTTTTATGTTGAATATATATATTAATAGTACAAAATTTTATGCGAGATGGACACAAATAAAATTCTGAAATGATTAGTATTAATAAATTAAATAATTAATCGAAGAAAATTTAAATTTTAAAGTGAATAAAAGAAGCTGCAGCAGCCGCTGCTTGAAATTGTAATGAAAAGCATGCAATTATAATGATATCTGTAATTATAAAAAACAATCACGTAGTGTACTTTTAAGAATACAATGAATCCAGACACGATTGCATGAAAGATTACCACGAATCTGATTTTACCTAATTTGCAGTTTGAGAATTCTAAACAAGAAATCCCATTGAAGAAGATGAGAAATAGTTGCTATATAAACCCTACCTGTAGAACTCTTAAATTTGCAAAGATAGATAAACAATGGATCAAAGGTGGAAACCAAAGCCGGCAGCCCTGCCCTTCAGCAAGGAACAACTGAAAGCCTTGTTCAAGCGATTCGACGGCGACAAAGACGGTCGTCTGAGCAAGTCGGAGCTGAAGAAAGCATTCAAGGAGATGGGGTCACGGGTGGCGGCGTTTCGAGCTCTTGGAGCTCTTCAGCATGCCGATGAGAACAGAGATAAGTTCATTAGCGGTGACGAGTTGGAAGCTCTTCTTCAATATGCTGTTGCTCTTGGTTATACATTCAAGACAAAATAAAGCTAACTTATACTATATATATATCAGCTTGATCATCTGATTATGTCTACCCTGTGTAATTGAAGTTCAATCTTGTATATATAATAATAATAATGATATGTAAAATTTCTTAAAGAATAAATAATTTTAATTTAATTTTTTTTATTAATCTACTCTTAGTAGTATCTGTTCAAATATAACTCTTAACTATTTAACATTGAACGCTCATACCCCTAGTATTCCTGGTGCTCAAACCCAAGTCCTCTAGTAATAACAACTATTCAATGTATAGGAAAGTGTTCCCTTTTTATTAAAAGAGTTAATTGTATCATATGTCCTCAAACAATGACCCTCATTTTAAATTGATCCTTAAACTTTTGAATAATCTAATTTTATAACTAAACTATAACTCTTATTCTAAATTAGTCCTTAAACTTTTGAACATTCCAAATTCATTCCCAAACTATGGCCCTCATTTTAAATTGTTCCAAAACTTTTGAATCTTCCAATTTCATCTCCAACTTCATCCAAATATGTAATTAGTTTCAACTATAATTTAACCTAAATTTTATTTTTTAAAATATATAATAATATAACTTGTCCTAATGATTTTTTAACAAGGTATGTGATTAGTATATATGTATAGTTTGAGATGAAATTGAAATATTCAAAAAGTTTGGGCACTAATTTAGAATGAATGTCATAGTTTGAAGATGAAATTGAAATATTTAAAAGTTTGAGGACTAATTTAAATGAAGATCATTATTTGAGGACACATGATTGTATTACAATCAAATATAATTATCAAGTGGTTCTCCTAAAAAAATATTTAACTCTAAAGTACATTTCAAAGAGTGAAAACTTATATTTTTTTATGTTATTTTAATGAAAATATAATTTTATTATCATATAATTACAAGGAATTCTAACCATCCAAACACACTTGGTTTATACAGTATTATTATATTTTTAGTTATGCATGTCATGTTAAGTAATACAAATTGTAATTGTACAAGTATATAAAGTTTAAATTTTATAATAATATTAAAAGTTATAAAATAATCCCCGATTATATAGTGTTGTTTTGTTGAGCCCATCACTTTTAAAAGTCACAAAATGGTCACTCGACTATTTATATATTCCAAACTCGTCATTATCCATTAAAAAATTGACGGTAGTCTGAATTGAATGTTAACTTGCTGACAGAGATATGATAAAATTCGATCTCATAATCTCGAACGACTATCATATCTCACTCAGCATGTTAACGTCCAACTCAGACGACATTTAATTTTTTAACGAAAAAGGACGAGTTTGAAACATAATAAACAGTCAGATGACCATTTTATAACTTTTAATAGTCAATAAACTCAACAAAGTAATGACCTATAATCTGATAATCTGAAGATCATTTTATAACTTTTAATAATGAATGGACTCAATAAATAATATATTATAGTCGAAAAACTATTTTTGTACTTTTTACCCTTTATCATTTGAATGTATACGAAAAAAATCAAGAAATAAAGTGATAAATTATAGAACAAAGTGATAAAGTGCAAAGAAATAAAGAAAAAGTGGCAATGACCACGCACACACATTTTGTTTTAAACCCTTTTTTTTTACTATAATTTGCTTTATTCTTAGTGTCACATGAGCATCTATTTGAAGATGGACATGCTTTAACTATCCCTAGATTCTTAGCCATATGGTTTTTCGACTATATTATTTATTGAGTCCATTCATTATTAAAAGTTATAAAATTATTTATTGATTATAGGATGTTGCTTTGTTGAGTTTATTGACTATGAAAAGTTATAAAATGATCATCTGACTATTCATTACGTTCCAAACTCGTTTTTTTTCGTTAAAAAATTAAAGGTCGTCTGAGTTGGACGTCAACATGCTGAATAAGATATGATAGATAGTTAAAGCATAAAAAAATCGGATATTGTTAAAGCATTATCCCCTGGTTAGTGCTTGAAATCTTGTTTGAAAAAACCAGGCTCCCTTATGAAACCAAGTCCTTGATTGAACTTGCCCTTTGGTTCTTTGCTAATACCTTCACTTCTCATCTACCTCCTGAACTTTCAGTGGTGTCGAAGGCAAAGATATGAAGCATATTCTTGATTTGTTAAGATTATCCTTGGTGTTACCATCCCGAGAAATGAAATCTGGCCATTTGGATGGAGACCGATTCGTCCCGTCTCAAGGCTCAAAGAAGGTGGCCTAAAATTCAAGAAGTGTGTATCAGATAGTGTCCTGGACATAAGGTATACATCTGGTTGTCTTGAGATCCTGCCATTGATAATCCAAGAGACGACCGGAACGATCTTTCCAAACCTAATTGCATACGAGCAGTGTTTGCCAAACTGTGCCCCTATGTTCACTTGCTACGCCATGCTCTTGGATAACCTTATCAGCACCATCAATGACCTGGAGATACTATCCAGGAGCGATATCTTCGATAACTGGTTAAGTCCTGAAGATTCAGTCCAATTTATCAATAATCTCTACAAGGATACTTATGTCAAGTAATTCTATTATGCCGAACTCGGTGATAAACTCAACTGGCATTGCGAAAGGTGGTGGCCTCGATGGCGGGCGCACTTAGTCCGAAACTATTTCAGCAAGCCTTGGGATGTCACTACTTTTTATGGTATTATCATGTTTGTTCTCACACCGTGGCAAACAAACATAAAAAAGAACTGATTAATGGGAGTTCTTTAATGTGTTGAATGTGCACCTACTCTTCATAGCTTGTAAATTACATGTAATAGTCTTAGGGGTTTTCAACATATACAACATACACAACTTGCAATTGGAACTAACAGTAGAGGTTTGCAAGAGCTTGAACAGATCAATGTATGATCCATCCACCGATCTCGAAAACTTGTCGATCAATGTATGATAGTTAACTGAAACTTTCCACTTTTCCCACCCTGGAAATAAAGCATTCTGATTCTTAAATGATCATCCTTTCTCTTGAATTGTGAAGACTAATTTATAAAGAATTTAAAGCTCAGATCAGATGGTATAGTAATGTAACCCTTTAGGCCATGGAATCCTGAATGGCTCAGACTGAAGCAAGGGATCAGTATGTGCCAGAGGAACTCAGCACATACTTTCTTTCCACTTATCTTACTGTATGGTTTGTTTTATTCTTAGTGTCGCATGAACATCTCCCCTTTGATTCCTTGATATCATTCCACATGGGACATGCTTTAACTATCTCTACAATCTTTTCCAATACACTCACTCATTCATCCATCTCTTTGAAATAAGAACTTGGTTGTTCCAACTTGTTTGCAGGCTTGAAAATGGAAGCAGCAAGGGGAAGATCGAAAGAAATCGTTCTAATCGATGTAGGATCGTTGGCTTCTCCGCAGGATGTACTGAGAGATGCTGGTTTATCCATGCCCCAAAGTTACTGCATCTTCAACATCCCGACCATACTCTTCAGGCACAACGAAAACTCATTTCTCCCCAATTGTTTCTCCATTGGGCCAGTGCACCGTGGAAAAAACCACTTGGTAGCCACTGAGAAAATCAAAATGAAGTACTTGAAAGCTTGTGTTTCCAGGGTGATTACAAGTCGTCACGGGACGATGTCCCAAGAATCCAAGGAGGTTGAAGAACAGAAAGTTTTATCTGATTTGATTAATTCTGTTAAGTCTATTGAGAAACAGGCCAGTGCTTGCTATGCAGGCTATGATTTTGCTGCGGAATTGGGTGATGAATTCGTTAGAACAATGCTGCTCGATGGTGTCTTCATTATCGAGCTGTTCCATAAAGATTCCGAAAAGGTCAAGGAGCACGGTGACCCGATTTTCTCTATGTCATGTATGCTGCAATATCTGTACCATGATCTGATCTTGCTTGAGAATCAAATCCCCTGGTTAGTGCTTGAACTGTTGTTTGAAAAAACCAGTCTCCTTAATGAACCCAAGTCCCTGATTGAACTTTCCCTTTTGTTCTTTGCTAATACCTTCACTTCTCATCCACCTCCTGTACAAACATCACGTTTCAAATATCAAGATATCAAGCATATTCTTGATTTGTTAAGATTGTCCCTGGTGTTACCATTCCAAGAAATCAAAAACAAACTGACAACCGGATGGCAACCGATTCGTTCCGTCACAAGGCTCAAGGAAGCTGGCGTAAAATTCAAGAAAGGCACAGCAGATTCCGTCTTGGACATAAAGTTTAACAACGGTTGTCTCGAAATCCCGTCGTTGCTTATCCAAGAGACGACCGAACCGATCTTCCAGAACCTGATCGCATACGAGCAGTGTTTTGGACATTGTCAACCTATATTCACTTGCTATGCCAAGCTCCTGGACAACCTTATCGACACCAACAATGACATGGAGATACTGTGCAAGAACGAGATCATCGATAACTGGCTGAGTCTCGAAGATTCAACCCAGTTTTTCAATAATCTTTACAATGATACTTATATCAAGGAATTCTATTATTTGGGACTTAGCGATAAACTCGATAGTCATTGCAGAAGGTGGTGGCCTCGATGGCGAGCAGCCTATGTGCACAACTATTTCACAAAGCCTTGGGCTATTGCAGCGCAAATTTATGCTGTTATCATGTTTTTTCTCACAGTGTGGCAAACCTATATAAAAAAGGATACCCCAGTTCAACATTAAATACCATAAATTACCAATTTTTTTGAAGTTGAAGAGTGAAGGATCCTGCTAAGACCCCTGAAATATTGTTCCGAAATTCGGTCAAGCAGATTAAACATGCTGGTTGGGAGAAATATTCTGATGCTACAATTTGTTTCCTATGTTTGTTTGATGTATTTTTCTGTTCAGAAAACATGTGTTTATCTGTTATGAATGTTGGGTTACTTGAAGCATGGCAAACATCCATTTAAACAGATCCCCGCAATTCCGATGTCATTTGTATACCAATTTAATCCGGTGAATTAATGCAAGTTATAGCAAAGAGCATAGAAGATGAACATAGCTGTTCGGTGTCTCTCCGGAACAGAATGGTCAACACTGCAACCTGGTTGTGCAACAATAGCAGTTTCCGCCCACGAAGAGTGTTAAGTTCAACTTTGATGCCACCTAACAGAATGGATAGTTTTTGAGTGGAGGTAATGGTTTGTTGTAGGTCGTTGCAGCTAGCGGTTTCAGTGTGTTGTCATTGAGGTTGATTCGAGAACTGTCATTGGAAAGATGTTAGCCCATGATCGAGACGACTCAATGATATTACAGATGAAGCAAGGGATTACTAATTCCCAAAGGAACTGCTCAAACATTTTTGTTAAAAATAGAGTTAATGTAAAGTGAAGTAAAAGGAATAAGGTGATGAAATAAATTAAATGACAAAGGTGAGGAAAAGTGAAAAACTTCACTGTCGTATTGTAACACCCCTAACTCATATTCGACCCGAATACAAGTCCGAGATGTTACATTGACTTTTCAAACTTTGATTCTTAAAGAAAAATCCCAGGAATTTAAAACTTTCATTAAAACACAATACTTTAATTTACATAAAAGAGACCACTTAATACAAAATCGATCAGAGTATTCATAATTAACCACTTATTACATACCAACACTCTATACACAACAAAATACATACTTTGTCAATTACTTCTGATATGATTTCTTAGTAATGTTGCTGTCCGTGCCACTTCTATTCTGAATCTTCTTATTTCTTGGTACCTATGTGTAAATCACTTACACGCTAAGTCATAGACTTAGTGAGACAATAAATGAATATGCAACAATATCTTCATGAATATGCATTCTTACCATTTCCTTCATGACATTTCAATATGCATGTATCTATTACACAATAACATATATAATCATATCATGCATGTACGAAACTTACCTTCTCGTACCACTTTCATTTTACTTTGTATTTCAATTGCCCATGTATATTATTGAGAATAGAGGTATCTGAGTACATTGAGGTTGTGCACTAATGCTGTCACCACAGCTCGTATCAATTCTCTTATGGGGCACCGAACCTTAGTTCAGTACTCGTCCCGAAGGACTGTCATATATGTCCCGTAGGACCACTACATCCCGAAGGACTACGTCCCGAAGGACTATTATACCCTCGACTCTTGGTATGCCAATTACACCTATAGCTGTCATATCGTATACTATAGGCATTATTCTTATATTTCATATGTTCATGTACTCATGTCATTTCTCTTATGATCATGTAGCTTATGTCATTTCTCTTGTGATCATGTAGCTCATGTCATGTTCTCATATCATATATCATATCACATGTGTATTTGAATCTATTCATATATATACATCATTTATCCAATCACATGAACATATATATGCCTTATGCATGTATTACAATAATTATTATGTATGCATGTTCACAACTATTGTACTATGAAAATCAATATAGGAATTAGACTTATCACAAGTCTTATTCCATTATACTATACATATAGTATGCACTCACCTTAGCTTTGCTTTGATTTACACGCACAAGGAAGAAAGAAGAAGAAGAGAACTCTGGAAGCCTTGGGTGTTTTCTCCCCTTCCACCCACGTGTATCCTTATATAAATATACTTATCCTTTCTTTAATTATTTTTCCTTGCAATTACTCTATTGTCCTTCCATTCCTTATTCCTTTCAATTCCATCCTACACAATAATTTACATGTAAATCTTTATACTATTCATTCATTTTATTTTAACCACCAAATTCTGAGACTTTATAATTTAGTCACTAACCCGGTATTGAGGATGTTACAACTCTGCCCCCTTAAGAAAATTCGTTCTCGAATTTTCATTATACAAAGAGGTAGGGGAACTTAATCCTCATGTCCTCTTCACGTTCCCATGTTTGCTTCCTCTACTTTGTGATTCCTCCACAAGACTTTAACCAATGGAATAGTCTTGTTCCTTAGTTGCTTGACTTCGTGAGCTAATATTTGAACAGGTTCTTCCTCATAAGTTAAATCTGGTCGAACTTCAATTTCTTCAGTAGTCACAATGTGGGATGGATCAGATCGATATTTCCTAAGCATTGAGACATGAAAGATATTGTGTATATTTTCCATTTCAGGTGGCAAAATTAGCTGATATGCTACTGGTCATACTCTCTTAGTAATCTCGTAAGGTCCAATGAATCGAGGACTCAACTTTCCTTTCCATCCAAACCTCAATACTTTCTTCCACGGAGTCACTTTCAAGAACACTTTATCTCCAACTTGAAATTCAATCTCTTTCCTTTTTAAATCAATATACGATTTCTGTCTATCAGCTGCGGCTTTCAGATTATTCTGAATTACTTGAACTTTTTCTTCCGTATTCTGAATCAACTCAGGACCAATAACTTCTCGATCCTTAAGTTCATACCAGTTCAAGGGCGTACGACATCTTCTTCTGTATAGAGCTTCATAGGGAGCCATTTTGATGCTTGACTGATAACTATTGTTGTACGCAAATTCAGCAAGTGGTAAATACCTTTCCTATGATCCTTTGAATTCAATGACACAAGATCTTAGCATATCCTCCAGAATTTGAATAGTTCGCTCGAATTGACCATCGATTTGAGGATGAAACGCTGTAATGAAGTTCAACCGAGTTCCAAGTGCTCCATGTAATGACTTCCAAAACTGTGATGTGAATCTAGGATCTCGATCAGAAACTATGTAAATAGGTACACCATGCAAACGTATAATCTCTCTAATATACAGCTCATCATACTTATCCATGGAGAAATTAGTTCGTACCGGAATAAAATGGGCTGACTTAGTCAATCTATCTACGATCACCCAGATTGAATCCTTTTTTGTTCGGAGTTAAAGGCAACCCTGTCACAAAATCCATCGTTATGTTCTCCCATTTCCATTGAGGAATTGAAATTGGTTGTAACAATCCTGAGAGAACCTGATGCTCAGCTTTGACTTGTTGACAAGTCAAACACTTTGATGCAAATTTCGTAATGTCTTTCTTCATTCCCGACCACCAATATCGACTCTTGAGATCCATATACATTTTGTTCCCTCCCGGATGCATTGTCAATGGACTACAATGAGCTTCCGTTAATAAATCATTCTTTAATTCATCATCATCCGGAATTACCAATCTTTCTCGATAATACAAATTCTCATCAGACTTAATCTCATAATCCGTACCCTCTCCATTCCTTATCTGTTGTATCTTCTTTAAACACTTTCCATCTTTAGCTTGCAATTCTTTAATTCGATCTAGCCATGCTGGCTTGACAGTCAGTTCTGCACAGATTGCACCATCTTCTCTTAACGATAATCTAGCATCAAGAGTTTGCAAAGCTGCAAACGTCTTTCTACTCAAGGCATCAGCTACCACATTTGCCTTTCCGGGATGGAAATCAATCACAACATCATAATCCTTGAGAAATTCCACCCATCTTCTTTGTCTTAAATTCAACTCTTTCTGAGTCATCAAGTATTTTAAGCTCTTGTGATCCGTATACAAGTAGCACTTTTCACCATACAAGTAGTGATGCCATATCTTTAAAGCAAACACTACTGCCACCATCTCTAGGTCGTGTGTTGGATAATTCTTCTCGTGCGGTTTTAGTTGTCTCGAAGCATAGGCCACCACCTTGCCTTCTTGCATTAATACGCATCCCAAACAACTATGAGATGCATCACTATACACTATAAAGTTCTTGCCAGACTCAGGTTGAACTAACACTGGAGCTTCTGTAAGAATCTTCTTTAACTTTTCAAAACTCTCTTGACATTCTTGAGTCCAAACAAATTTTACTTCCTTTTTCAACAGTTTAGTTAGGGGTAATGCTATGATCGAAAAGTTTTTAACGAACATTCGATAATAACCAGCTAACCCTAGAAAACTTCTAAATTCTAATACATTCTTTGGAACTTCCTACTCCAGAATAGCTTTAATCTTTTAGGGATCCACTCGAACTCCTTCTGCAGAAATTACATGTCCAAGGAATGTCACTTCATTAAACCAAAATTCACACTTAGAAAATTTAGCATAAAGCTTATTGTCTCGTAAATTCTGTAAAACAATATGTAAGTGTGAACTATGCTCTTCTTCTGACTTTGAATATATTAAAATATCATCAATAAACACCACAACAAACTGATCCAAATAAGGTTGGAATATCCTGTTCATTAGATCCATAAAAAGCAGATGGTGCATTCGTAACTCCAAACGACATCACGATAAACTCATAGTGACCATATCTTGTTCTAAACGCCGTTTTTGAAAGGTCTTTCTCTTGAATCTTTAATTGATGATAACCCGAACGTAGATAAACTTTTGAGAACACTGAAGCTTCCTTTAATTGATCAAATAAATCGTCAATTCGGGGAAGTGGATACTTGTTCTTGATGGTCACTTTATTGAGTTGTCTGTAATCGATACAAAGACGCATTGATCCATCTTTCTTTTTAACAAATAGAACTGGAGCTCCCCAAGGTGATACATTTGGTCTAATAAACCCTTTGTCTAGTAACTTCTATAATTGAATCTTTAATTCTTGCAACTCTTTGGAGCCATCCTATATGGTGCCATTGCAATGGGCACTGTTCCCGGTATTATCTCAATATGGAATTCTACCTCTCTGTCCGGAGGTAAACCTGGCAACTCTGCAGGAAATACATCGGGAAATTCTCTGACTATAGGAATTCCTTCAATCC